GACACTATCCAGTGGAGTACACAGAGGAGATGGTCTGAAGATTTACCTCTTGCAAGACTGCACTCTTCTCCAGGTGCTGGAATGGGTTGGAACTCCCACCTGCAAAACAAAGAGAGTAAAAGTCTCCCCAAGGATAGTGCCATGGGAAAGCAACTTTTTAACCATGACCATACTTTAAAAACAGTCTGAGTATTTTGGGGTGATTTTTTTCATGAACACCAAGCAATCAGAGCACCCCCTTTGAAGTAATATTAACTGGATGTCTTTATGGCAGTTGGGGAAGGCAGAGCAGGCAGGACATTCTTCAATTTGCCCTCCCCTCCAGAAGCAACTGACTGTGAGCTGAGGTGGAGTGATTAGCTGTAAAATAACTATGCTCCACTGTATCCCCAAAGACCTATTTCCACTCCTGGGCTGGGAGCTTGCTGGCAGAGTGTTTTATCCCTCCCATATAAACCAATCAACAATCCACCAGCAAAGTATTTTTGGCTCTATCACTAATTAAGAGAACAAGACAGCAGACTAGATAGGCTGGACACAAAGTAACTTTCATTGTTCCGCTTAACAAAGTAAATTATACTAATAATTAAAACCCCCAGCAATTAAGGATGAAATAATCAGAGGGAAAAACACTATCATTCTGCATGGTCTCTATTAGATTGCCTCCCAAGCATTTGTGAGCTACAGCTTTTCACAAGCTGCTAGTTACTGATATGCAGGTTTCAATTAGAATCTATGTTCAGCCTGGCCCTGGGACAAAATGCAGCCTTTTTCAGGGCTGTTCCACTGTTTGTTCCAAAGCCTGATACACTAGAGAGAACACCTCCTGGGCCAAAATCTGACCTGACCCAAGCTTGAAGCATCCTAGGCTTCCTAGAGGAAGCCTTATATACAAAAGCAAAGACACCTCCACTCTGGCTCCTTCCTGGTTCATAAAATGCCCTCCTCTGGCGCAAGAGAAGTATGCAAAGGCAGCAGGTGGCTGAACAAAACACAAACATTTATGTGAGGTTGAAGAGGTAGAACAAAACAAGGGCAAAGTCTCTAGTATGAGTATGAACCAGTTCTAGCATAAGTATGTGAATGTGTTCCAAAAAACCTGATCAGCAGCCCAGTATTTCCATGGTCTAGCATGTCTACAATCCTTAAGTCAGCCATGAACAACACAGCATCCACTTCTTTACCCTTCATAGTGCAAAGGATCTTGAAATACATTGTATGTGGGGGCTCAATCCTCACAGCACCCCGCATCAGTTTTCTTCCATAGAGAGGGAGAAAGATGCAGGGAGGGCAAAGTGTTCATAAAGTTCCTAATGTTGCATTGCTAACAACAATTTATTCTAATCTTTAGAGAAACAATTTTGTGGTCAAAATAACATGTCAAAGGGAGTGGGAGCAGGTCATCCAGGGCTAGCTAAATCATTCATGGAAAGCAAAGACATAGAAGCCAATTAACTGGATACTTGTATCTCCTGCCAGCCCTAGCCATAGGTAATGTCAATAGCTTGATGGGTGTGGCAGGTACAAATGAAGAACAGCCCCCAAAATTAAAGCCAAGAGCAATTCCCCTCTAACAGCTGCTTCACTAAATTCTCTGTTTACCAAGACATCATTGGAGGTCCTGGTAAAGGGAAACAAGGGCAAGGCATTTAATGCACATTAAGCTAAAAAGCAAGCACTGTCACACAGAGCAATCACCAAGATCTAAGCTGAATCAATTTGCTTCAGGACACACTGATTTGTTATGCAGAGCAAGCTGTGTGGAAAGCTTCATAGGAAGATGGTAAGATACCACAAAGCTAAACCATGAAAGGAAACACTGTCATATGGTGCATCGCTTCCACCTGAATTACACATCCCGTAAGATATCAACCCCTTCCTTACTAACCAGCCTAAAGTTTTGAAAAGTCAGGCAGTCACTTCATGTTTCCTTGGTGCTCTCAGATTTTCTGATCCATTGAAAGCAGCAGTGATTGTGGGGTCAGAAACAATGAATTGGATTCCACCTGGCTGTAGCACCTGGTTCATGAGCTGGGCAACTGTGAACAGGGCTAATATGCTCAGTTTAGTCTCAGGTTCTGCACCTGGTGATGTGGCAGGTAACCTCGGTGTGCTGTGCCGATACAACCAGTTTAGCCTCTGGCTGCAGCTGTGAGAAGGAGGCAGCAGACTGCCTTGGTGTTCCTGTGGTGCTTCCATAGTGCTTCCCACTGCGTTCTATGCACTCCAGCAAGCCCCCGCCGCCAAGCTGGCACCGAGCTTCCCCTCCCAGCTCCCTTGGGGGTGTCCCCTTCACAGATCCCTTCACTTCCACAGCAGGGCTCTCTTCCCTCACAGCCCTCCTCGTAGCCACGAAGGAGTCCCCCCTCACCAATCCCCTCCGTACCCACAGAGGGGTCTCTTCCTTCACAAAGCCCCCGGCCCCCCCTCACCCGACTCCTCGTCCTTCTTGTCGAACTTCTTCAGCATGGTGCTACCGAGCGGCCCGTCGCTGCAGCCCTCCCGTCCCGTGGCAGTGGCAGTTCCAGCCTAGATCTAGATCTAGATCTAGACCCCGGTCCCAATCCCGGTCCCGGCACCGGCACCGCCCCTTCCTGCCCCCGCCCTTTCCTGCCAGCCTGTCACTGTTACTGCGGCCGCCGCACTGCGCAGGCGCGGAACCGCCCCCCAGACGTGTCCGGGGCGTGGCGCGGAGCCGTGACGCGGAGCCGTGAC